ACGACCACGACAACGACAACGACGACGACGACGGTCTCGACTGCGACGGTACCCCCGATCTACAATATGGCGCCTATACCCCCCTCATCCGCGCTCTCGGCCCGCCCATCTTCCTGCCTACCGCCCGCCTCAAACGCGCCCCCTCCCAGTCCACCAACCTCAGTCGCTCCAAGGTCTTCGCCCCCGCCCAGAAGCAGGCCCTGCGCATGACCATGTGTGAGTTCGTCGACACCGAGGAGCGTTACGTCAACAAACTCTATACCCTCGTCCGCTCCGTCGCCGAGGAGTTCCACCGCAAGGCCAACGCCCGCCCCCCGTCGAGCACCAGCCCCGATGCCGCCGACCTCGCCCGTCTCTTCCCCCCATGCCTGCACGATATCCTCGAGCTACACCTGGGATTCCTGGACGTCATCCGCCAGGTACTCGAAACCACCGAGCCCGACGCCATCGACGACCTCACTCAGGACACCGACCTCTCCTCCTCACTCGCTCGCCGGTCCGCGCGCGACGGCCCGGACCGCATCGGTGCCGTCGCCTTCGCCGCCGCCCTCGTCGATTGGTTCCCTCGCCTCGCCGAGCCCTACGCCGCGTACCTGCGCGCCCACACCGGCTTCACGCAGACTCTCAACTCCTTCCTCCAGGACAAGCAGTCCAGCTTCACCCGCCGCGTGCAGGACACCGGCGAGCAGCTGCTCCGCTCCCTCCTCATGGAACCCGTCCAGCGCCTCCCCCGCTACAGTCTCCTCATCGACACCATGACCGGCAGTCTGCCCCTCCTCCACCCCGCCGTCCGTCCCTTGCTCCAGGCCCGCGACGTCGTCACCGACATCTGCGCCCTGGACGACGCCGTGTCCGCCAGCCCGGACCGCGGATTCCAGCGCTTGTCCGCCGCCCTGGTCGACGGCTGGCCCGCCGCCACCATCCGTCCCGCCGGGCGACTCATCACGGCCGTCGACGTCCACACCCTCGCCCCGCCCTACCACCGGGATCGCCTCCCCGCCACCGCCGACCCCGGCCCGTTGGGCATCCTGCTGGTCTACCAGAACGCCCTCGTCCTCCTCGCCAAGGGACCCGGCGCCCCGGTCACCGCGCGGGGTCTGGCCACCGAGCTGGACAGCGCCGCCTCCGCCACCGCCGGCCCCGCCAGCCCCACCACCGCGCGCGCCCTCCAGGTGGTCCAGGTCTACCCGCTCCCCCGCGTGCGCTGCACCCAGTCGACCTGCGGCCGCATCCTCTTCCTGGCCGCATCGTCCACTCCCGGGCTCCGCGCCCTCGAACCGACGTCCATGTATGAGGGGCGCGCCGGCCGCGTCATCGAGGAGATCGTCAAGGCCCAGATCGCCGGCCGGTTCCCCGAGCGGGAGCGCGAGGACGGGAAGTGGACCCTGCGGAGCCCCACGGGCACGGTGGGCAACCTCGGCATCCTGGCTTGCGTCGTGGAGAATGCGCCGGAAACCCCGCGCCCGGCCGCCGCCCCGATCCGGCTCGTGGTCGACCCTTCGCGATCAGTAGCTGGTCCCGCGCTGGGCTCGTCCGGGCTCGAGGTGCTCCTGTCGGTGACGCCCCTGGCCGAGGATCAGTTCCGTTTGGACCTTGACTCCATCGTCGGCCAGCGCTCCTCGGACATCGTCACCGCGGAGAGCTTTGTTCCGATCCTCTCCAAGCGCCGTGAGTCTCCCCCTCACCCCTCACCCTTCAAGATGGTTGGTTCATGTTGACTAACGCCACCAGTATCCCACGTCCTCTTGCCCTTACACGGCCCCCAAAACCGGACTATGGCCGAATCCATCATCCACGCCAACCTGGACACCATCCGCGATCTGTCCGGCTACTTCTTCGCCCCCGCCGCCAAGGCCTCCAAGAGCTTCCGTCCCCCGTCCCCCTCCAAGCTACTCTCCAGCCTCCTGGGCAGTGGCTCGACCGGCGCAAAAGGACTCGGCGACGTCCCCAAGATGCCCCCGCCCCCGCCCCGCGGCCATCTGTCGCGGTCCAACACCTTGCCCTCCGTCTTCCCCGGCAAGGAGGAGAGACGGGAGGACCGGACGGACGCGACGCCCCCGAAGGTCTCCGTGGTCGGCGCGGACTCCGGCCCAGGTCCCGAGAGTACGTTGCCGGCGCTGGAACGGGCGTTCGCCGCTTATGCGCTCGCCCTGCAATCACGCAGCGGGAACATCGTCGGACGCACCCTGCGCGCGCGCGACGGAGTGGATCGGTCGGCGGTCAACGAACTCTACAACGTCCTGCTGGAGGACCCAGGGAGACTCCAGGCGGCGGCCGAAGTTCCCGTCGACACCCTGTTCGTGGCCTTTGAAACCTTCATGGCCAACGCGTGGAGCGAGCAGATGGGTCCCATCTTGGATCCCGCGTCCCTGGCCCTCCTCCAGGGTCATTTCGACACGATGTTTCCGCGCGACTTTGACGAGAGCTTCCGCCGGTTCCTGTCCGAGATGAGCCCCCAGAATTGCCGCGCCCTGGCCGCTCTGGTGCGACTCCTCGCCGATCTCCTCGACGCGTCCGGTAACGACGGCGACCGCGGCGCGTTGACGGCCGTCTTTGCCGAGGTGCTGACCACCGAGGGCGACCCGATGCAGCACGTCTCCCTTCTGGACCGCCTGGTCGACGACTTTGACCATCTCTTCGAGGAGGTCACCCCCGACGGGGCCTCCCTGGAGGCGATCCTGAGCGGCGATCCGACCCCGTCCGTCGCGCACAACCGCGGCTCGGTGAGTTCCACCACTTCCTCGTTTCGGAAGCGCTTTGGCTTTAGCCTCCACCGGGACAGCTCGAAGGCCGACGGCGAGAGCAAGGTCTCGTCCATCTTACGGACCCTCAGCAAGAGCAAAGGCTCCTTCACCGGAGACTCCGACCCGGGGACGCCCAAGGGGTCCCTCCTGCGGTCGAAATCGATCGACGTGGATGCGGGACTGGCATATCTCCTGCGACCCGGCTCGCGGGATCGGCTGGGTACCTCGTCCTCGCAGGAGCACTTCCACCGGCCGGCCAGCGCGCAGGAGGACACGGCCTCCGTCTCCTCGGTCCGGGGCCTCGGCGGGGTGAAGGTGCGCCGGAAACGGCGGAGTTCCCTCTCTGATTTGAGGCCAGGGACGGCATCGTCGGAGGTGTCGACGACATCTCCGAGCCACGCCGCCCGGCCTGCGACCCCAGCATCGTCCACCAGTCACTCGCGCTCCGACGGGATGACACCGACCAAGCCCCCGCGACCCCAGTCCCGCCACGGGGAGCCCACCGCCGTGCGAAGCACCTCCCCGCAGAAGGGTGGCTCCCCGTCTCTGGTTGCCCGGTCACCCACTCGTCCCGTCACGCCGAGCCGGAAAGAGAACATCGACCCGAAGTTTCTACCCACCGACCGCTCTCCGCGGAAGAAGAAGGATGCATCGGAGTCCCCCCAAGAGCCGAAACGGAGGAGCCGGGCGACGAGCATCCCCGCTCGGAACGCTGGGTTGAGGGAGCGGCCTGTTCCGGTCAATGGATCTGATGTGAAGCGACCGCCGTCGTCGTTATCACCTCCAAAGCCCCAGAAGCTGCGGATGCAGAGTCCTCAGAAGGTATGCTTTTTTCTCTTTCATTCTTCTATCGAAGCCGTATGATGTCTGACTGTTGGAACAGCTCCGGGATCGCTTGCAGAGCGAGAAGCGGGCCCAGAATCTGGCGCAGCTGGGGCTGAAGGACGAACTGGATCTGATTGGTGAGGAATTGCAGTCGTTGAAGCTCGCATCCTCCCAGCCGGGGAAGTCGATGCGGTCCAGCCCAGAGCATTTGGGAGAGCCGTTCACTCCTCAGTCGAACACTGCCCTAACCACCCGTATGCGGAACCTAGAGACAAAGTTCGACGCCTTTTCAGGGGAGTTCCACGGACGAACATCCTCCATCGAACGAGACCTAGAGTCATCCCTGGTAGTCAGCGAAAAGCGCGTCAAAAAGCTCGACGAACTATACCGAGAAGCCAGCGCCGAAAACGAAGCACTCTACGACCGCTTCAACTCGGAGCTCAGCAAAGTAGCCAAGGACGCCCGATCTGGTAATGTGGACGACGCGCTCAGCTCTCAGCTGTCTGCAGCTCTTGAAGAGGTCGGACGACTCAAGAAGGAGAATTTCCGACTTAAACGAGAGGTTGGAGGGCTTCGTGCTCAACAAGCTGCCGTTGCGTTGTTGAAAGCGGGTGAATAATTTCCTCGCTTTTCTTCCTTCCTTTGTTTTTCATTTTATTTTCATGTCGCAATGCGTGTTAGACCATGGGCGTTGATGAGACGATGCTTTACTGAACTAAACCATGGACGTTCCTCTCCTTCCTTCCTTCCTTCCTTTCTTTCTTTCTCTATCTTTTCTGGCCCTATGTCCAACCGACTTACAGCTTATCCATTTTATTGATTGTACATGTCCGAAGATTGATTGACGGTCCTGACGCCGTTGATGCACCATGCCCCTGACTTTTCCTTCCCTCCTTCTGTCCGTTCCTTGATACTATCCTTCCTACCATTTTTCTCTTCTATGTTACCTACAACTGCGTAATTCCTGCATACAAGGAAGGGGGTTGATTCTGTTTGCGCAGATTTGGTCACATGCATCGTCATTGCTAGCCTTGAGCCATGTCTTTACTTTCTTTCTTGATTGACTTTCTCTTCTTGAATCTCTTATTTCAAATGTATGTCATTGTAAAGATTACTTTCACCATTTTTATTAGCCACACATTCAATATTATTTCCAACTCCATCCTCTCCCTGTATATTTGGCATCTATTTATCATATTACACTACAATTGATTCCTTGATTGATTCATTCATTGAAACTTCCACCACCCATAATCTCCATAGCCTCCGAATCAACACTCTTAAACATCCACTCCCACCGAATCTGATACCCACCCAATACTTCCTGTGAACCTTCCTGTGAACCAGGCCCAGGACCAGGAGTGAGACACAATGTCTCAAGCGTAGGCAGCGCCAGCGGTATCTGCTGCCCGCTGGACTCTTCCTCGAGAGTTAAAACAGGAAGCGTGAATCGTGTTTGAGCAGGGGCGTTGCGGGAGAGGATGTTGAGGATTGATCTGTGGGGGTGGTTGTTGGTGGTGTCTTTGTTGGTGTCTTTGTTGGGGGTTGGTTTGGGGGTGTGGAGGTGGTTTTGGGAGGTGATGTAGGAGAGGTAGGCGATGAGGTGGAAGTGGAAGTAGAAGGAGAAGGAGAAGGAGACGTAAGGGTGGATTTTCGCAGATACTCCAAATCAGATTGTTGGAGAGGTCGGAGGGTGAGGGATACAGAGTTTGGGTTTTCTGTTGTTGGGCGTTGTGGTGGTTTTGTATTTGATGACGGAGGAGGAGAAGATGATGCTTTTGTGCCTGTTTGTGATGGTGGAGAAGACAGTGGTGTAGATGAGTGTGTAGAGTCCAGCTGCGAAATGGGTATAATGTGCTCAGGAACCAACGCAAACCGGAACCAGTATCTGTTATCCCATAGTTGCCAGGGGGTATAGTTTGATTCTTGGTTTTGGTTCTGGCTTTGCTTTTTTTGTTGGTCTGGCGAAGAGGAAGAGGCAGGAGGAGAAGGGATAGAAATGTCAAAGGGAAGGGTAGGAAGACGATGCCTCATAAAAGGCTGACGGGACACAAGCCATGTATTATCCCACTCCCTATTCCCCTTCCGAAGAAGAGGTTTGAATAAAACACCCCCCAAGGTAAAGGCCTGCTTCTGCTTATCCTTCTGTGTTTGAGAAGTAGAAAGAAACACACGGTCAATGAACTTCTCGAACCCCCGTAGAGAAAAATGATTTTCCGGGAAGGGAGATAGGATCTCAGTGATGCGGCGGAGGGAGAGGGCTTGGATCTGGCGAATGCGCTGGGTTGGGTCCCGTTCATCTTGAGAATGGACATGTTCGTCTATGACTGTTTCCGATGGAAACTTGACAGTCATCGTCCCAGCACTAAGATTCAACTCCAGAATCCTGCACTCTCGCAGCAGCCTATTAGACAAACGGGTCGAATCACGAAGCAAGTCCTGACTCGCTTTGATCAAGGAGAGAATAGAAGGCGGTTGTAACGCGCGCGGAAGCCGGTTCTCAGCAAGAAGACTGCGAATAGCGTTTCGGGGAGTGAGAGTCGGGTCGAAGTTTGTTTTGTCCGTGACGAAGGGGACGCCGTTTGCTTCGCAAGTGGCGACGAGGTTGGATTTTGGGAAGGTCAGGAGAGGACGGCAGATGGAGATGCCGCCTGTGGAGATTGTGACGTTTCTGGGGGATGGATCTGACTCTAAATTTGACCCGGAGTATGAATCTAGATCCAAACCCCCAGGTCGACTGGTGAGACCCATCTCCAACCCACTCCCAGACATCCCATAAAGACCATGACACTCCGGAATCCCCGTAACAGGCGGAATACCCGCGAGCCCAGCACCCCGAGCTCCAGTACACAGTCTCCACAGGGTGGTCTCGACATTATCGTCCTGATGGTGGCCCATAAGGAGCGTCTCAATACCATTGTCTCGACAGGCTTGGCCAAGAGCCTGGAAGCGGAGACGGCGGGCGTGAGTCTCGAATGCGGAGACTTCTGATGGTGAGCCTCCCTGGGGCCAGGTGAGGGGGAGGATGTGGGATTTTAACCCTGCTCTTTTATGAGTCTCTTGTGTGTTCGCTGCGTGCGGGTAGAGAGAATAGAATGTAAGAATACGTACCCAGGTCTGCCAACCAACCCACAACAGTCCTTGCCTCCCTCGAACTCTCTTCTCTAGCACGATGGTCAACCACGAAAGCCATGACAGTACTATCGGGCTGATTAAGCCCCATCTCCCACTGTCTGCATAGATACGCAAGGGCCATAGAATCAGCACCTCCGCTAATCGCCAGTCCTGTTTACTTCGTTAGCTCAATTCATTCAAATCAATCCATCATATCTATCAAGAGGTGATATATATAATAATATATTATACATACCTAATCTCCTCGGAAGCCTCCGACTCCGACTCCGACATGCTGTGTGTCGCGAATCGAACCATGTTCGGTGGAAGGCGTTGAGGAATTGCGATGCTGTTATGGGGTTGGATTGTCTTGCCATTATTGCCCTGCCATGGGTTCAACTTCTACCTATCTAACTTGTTTGTTTTGAGGAAGGACTAAGTTAGGTCAGATGTAGTAGTAGATTAGTTAGTATGGTAAGTTGGTGGTGGTGGTGGTGGAGAAGAAAGAAGCTGGTTGGTTCGGAGTGCGGGTTTCTTGGCGTTTTGTTCTGTTTAGTTTCCGCGTGGAATGGCGAACTGGATACGGAGTGATTAGCTATATAGGGTTTTGTATGCTGGATAAAAGCAGAAGGGTTGTGAAATTGTATTTTCTGGAGCGACTGGTAATTGTGTTATCATTTGTAACAAGATATGGGAGCTTTACTTGGTAGAACTAACATGTATGGCTCCGTTTAAATAGTGATTGATCGTAGAACTACACTACCTATCCTACCACCCTCCATAAACAACTCCAATATCGAATAATTGTTAATACTATTGTAGTCCACTCATCGAAAAGAATATGTATAATGATGTATGTACAATACCAGAGACAGGGCCATCCATCCATCCATCCGATAACCCGGGGTATTCATCTCCAATATAGACGAAACAAACCACAACAATAATAATGTACTCTCCCATCCACCACCACCACCACCATCACCACCACAATCACCACCATATCAAGAAACGCAAAACACATCAAGAATTATAAATAGAAGCCGACGCAGACCTCGGCCCCGGAGCCGTCTGAGAATCAATACTCGCCGACGGCGCACTCCGACCACCATCTCCATCCGGCGCGGCTAAACCCTCGGCTGTCAAGGCGTTGTGTTCATCGTACTGGCCTGACCCTGGACCTGACCCCGGCATGGGGATCTCTCTCTTCCCATTCGCTCTGTAGTGTAGGATCATGTCGCCTGAGGAGCGCCAGATGTGGGTTCGCATTGTGGCGAGGGTCATGTTTAGGGGGAGGAGCTGTGTTGTTCAATAATTAGTTTGTGTTGGTTATATGGTTATATGATAGAATACGAGGGGAAAGGGAGGGGCTACCATGTTTTGACAGTAGAGTTCGAGATATTCTTCCGGTTTCATTCCGCCTTCTTCTCGTTCGTCGTACAGAGGGTCGATTCGCTCTGCGACGTAGGCTAGGATTTTCTTTGTGCGCAGCATTCGGTTGGCGTTTAAGCGGGAGTTGTTACTGCCGTTTGCGTTGGGAGTTGGTCTGGACTGTTAGCTACAGAGTCTGTAAAGGATGTTTCCGTGGACATACCCGTCTTTCGCTACCGGAGGTAGCAGTTTATCGTCGTACGGCCGCAGCGTAAAGGCGACCTTCGTAGGCTCTTTAAAGGGCATTTGGTTCTACCGGTGTTAGTGGAATACAGACCAGGGAACGACCGACAAACCTTCAACAGAAGCTCAGCAAGCCACAAGGGAATTGACTTTTCCAACAGATCAATCTCCTCCCCGACCCGCGCCACGGTGCCCCTGTAAAGATCAGACGCCACAGCCGTATCCCCCGACTCTTCCTGAATGAACACGGACGTCCGAGGGGGAATATTCAAAACAGGAGTCTCCAGCTCAGTAGCCGGCGCAAAAGCCGAGATCAGTTCCTGGTGAGCATTGGCGGACAGATACTCCTCATACTCATGCCGCGTGCGTTCGATGAAACCACTCAGATTATTTTCGAAAACCTTCTCTTCTTTCACCGACGACTTATCCGACTCTTCTGGCTTCTCTTCCTGGATCTGCGGCTTGACTTCGGAGGAGGTCCGGCCCAGCTTCTTGGGGAAATCCATGCGGAATTTCTTGCCAAATAGGGAACTGCCCTTTTTCCGTTCTTCTTTATCAGGCTCGCTCGGCGACTGCGGGAGGGCAGTTGGCGCGCTTTCAGTTGGGGGAAACGTGGATGCTTTGTCCACGTCTGAGGCGGCCAGACCGGCCATTCTGGAGTGGTTAAAGTAGTCGCTGGATCGGTCGGACACCGAGGTCCGGTTGGCGTCGTGTGTCTGGTGCGCCGCCAAATACTCCGAAAGATCCCCCGGCGAAGTGCCCGCATGACTGCTGCCGTGGTGATTATGATGGAACACGGGGGCGCTCAAGGGCCCCGGGCTGCTGGCGAACCCGATTCCAAACCCGGGGGTGGATGGGCTGCCAACGCCGTCATGGCCGGGGCGCCAGGAGGAGATGGAGGGGTCGAAGGACGCTGCTACGTTCTTCGCATGTTGTGGTATCGGGATGTCCATTGGTGCAGTGCCGCTGGTAAGACTCGGCTTGGCGAACTCTTCCGCTCGTGCCAGAGCAGACTTCCGATATTGGGCATCGCGTTTGATCTCTTCCTCCACCAATGGGGCGAAGAGCCAGCGCAGGATCCATTTACCCAGGTTGACTATACGCCAGACTGTCAGTATACAACACGAAAACGACATGGTGGACTAGGATGTCATGGAAACCAGTTCACTCGGGGTGCAAGAATACATACTCCTTTGATCATCACGCATCTGCAAGCCATCATCCAGATCCGCTTCATCGGCATAAACTTCTGCATCAAAACAACGCCCAGGCTCCAAGATAACAGACAATCTTCCCGTTCGAATATCGATCGTGCACCAATGAGCGATGCTCTCCGTCGTGTTGATCTCCGAGGCGACGTCATCAATATGCCGCTTGCCGAAGGACTGGACAGGGACACACTGAAGCAGAAAGCATTAGCACCTCGTTTGGCGGTCGAGCGTAGGCACTCACCTTCAAAAGATCCCATAAAACCACCTCCCCGGCCGAATCTTGAGTCAGCGTGCGTTTCCGGTCATTCAAAGAGAAATGCTTGATCAACCCGTGTTGACCCTCGATGGTCTCATTGGGCAACGTCTGCACGGGCAGCGTGAGGGCGAGTTCATCCTCGAGGTCGGACTGCGGGGACGACTGTTGTCCATTGGCAGACGGCGGGGCCGTAACGTTCTGGGGGAATCGGGAATCGGGAAGTGTCGACGTGTTGGAGAGGAGTAAAAGCGATTCATACGGTATCTTCTTCTTCGGTTGGATCTTTGTAGACGGCGCCCGCTCGGACGGGCTAGACTCCTCCTCGGGCTCTCTGAATGACGGTGACTGAATCTCAGCCAGAGTGTCGATGTCGTTCCACCGGTTGATGCTAGACTTGGGAGTTGCGGTCCATATATGATCGGCGGCAGCGACCACGTTGACGACCCCTTCGTGTTCCTGTAGCGCGGCAACGCAGATCCCCTGCTCGATGTCCGGCGAATGTCTGGTATCGGTCTTGGCAACCAGACCGGATCGATCGCTGGAGTAAAACACCGACAGTTGCGGGTGGTTCGAGTAGAGAGACCAGACGCTGTCATTGTGCATCGTCAGGGTATGCATACACCTCCCCGCCGTCAGGGACCAGATCTTGACGGTCTGATCGGACGACGCCGTCATGATCGTATCCCCATCGCAGTTGACTAGGATATCCCGAATATTATCCGTATGGCCGACAAACTTGGTGATGAGCTTTCCGGATTTAGGATCCCACACTCGCACCACGCTCTCAGGCCCGCCACTAGCGATAACAGACGACACGGCGCCGAGCGCATATACAGAGCCTTTAGCGGTTTGATCTTCCCCGCAGGCATCGATGTTCAATATTTCGCCTCCACCATTCAGATCCCACAGGTAAAGCTTGTGGTCGAGGCCCCCAGACGCGACCCATGACGAATGATTCCCCGGTGTTGCAAGAGCCTTGACATAGTCCGTATGTTTTCCGATGGGGTTGGGTACGTCGGTGGAATCGGAGTGCGGTCGCCATAGTCGCACCGTCGTATCGGAGGAGGCGGAGACAAGGGCGGAGTTGTTCTGCGTTAGGACGATATCGTTGATCCAGTGGCTGTGAGCCTGGACCTGATTCCGGAACGTTGTCGGACCGGGCTGCGTCGCGCAAGACTGCGACGCGGACTTGGATAGCGGCAAGTTGAGATCCCACGAACAGACGACGCCATCGCGACCGGCCGAGTACCTGATTGTCGTTCGAATTAGACTGACCAACACTCATATGACTAAAAACGGAGGAAGAGGTCCTCACAAGATCGAGTTATCCGGATCGATCGTCAACCCGTTAACCCCCAGCCGGTGGCCGCCCGGGGCATCAGGCAGAGGGAGCACTGTCCACAGACACAACTATCAGTCACCAGGACCAGACAATATAAATCACACCGGTAAATCCAGACTACTCACCATATGTGACCCTCTGGTGGCTTGGTTTGCGGCCCATGCAGGTTGATTTCTCGACAGCGGTGGGTAGGAGAGAATGCGGAGGAGAGGCTACACGAGATGCGGAGGTGACCGGGCACCAAGTGGGCGGGCGGTGGTCGATCGCTCACGGAGACCACGGGCGTAACGGGGCGATGGGAGAAAGCATGCCTTGACTCGGGCAACTAAGGGGAGATAACTCTAATGTTTAAGTTTATGTGAAAAAGGGAAAGGACCACGAGGGAGGAGAGTAGATGAGAACCAGAGAGTGACAGTGAGGGAGAGAGAAAGAGTGAGGGAGAATAGAGTGTGAGAGGAGGGGAGAAGACGGGAAAACGTGGTTCGGGTAAGCCGCAGCTGGCCTGGTTGCCTGGTTGGTTCCTGATTACGGGGCTAGGACTCCTCCTCCTGACGCCACAATCCAGAAACGAGACAGGAGTTGCTCGTTATTGAAGGCCACAGCCCTCCGTGCGCAGTAGCGGCCTAGTATTATTGCCAAGGGGGTCCTTAATGCCTCTCTGCTACATGCGAAGCGGTGGTGTGTTCCATACGGAGTCGATTTCCATCCCCCTATCTTATCTATGGCGGCCTATCAACCTCTGACGTCAGATGCGCACGCGATCATATCAAACGCAACAACAGCAGTCGTTGATCCATTCAAAAGCTATCTACTCGACGCTGCCGTCCTGAATACAATTAGTGACGGATATAAAACAAACAAAAGAATGAACAAGCCGAATGGTAAAATGTAAAATAGCTTGGCTTGCTCCAAGCCAGATGAACCCCCGCAAGAAAGAAGAAAATCAAGACAAGAAGAGAAAAAAAGAGGTAAAGGGGAAGACAAACCACCCCAATAGCAATGGGTAAAAAGATGGAGCATTGGGTAAAGCACAAAGTCTAACAACCAGCCCTCTATGGGACGATAATGATTCGCCTCAACAGTTCCAATCCGCGAAGACACAACGCCAGTGAAGATAGTTCAAAAACACAAAGAAAAGAAAAGAAAAGGATTCAAAAAAAAAGAGGGGGGGAAAAGCAAAGAGAAATGAAATGAAATGATATAGAAAAGCGACCGTCCATGCTCCCTTCCTGTGCAAGAGAGATAGGTGAGAAGTGGGGGTGAAAGAAAAGAGAATCAAGCAAAGACATTGACCTCATCACAACTGGGTCCATTCGACAAGAGAATAACAAGAGATATCACACGAACCGAAGGCACCTTGTCGGATGAGCTTCAAGAAAAGGGTTCAACCCGCAAGCGGATGCATGAGTGAAGGGAATATGGAAACAGGCGCCAGATACCCCACATTGGTGGGGGACGAGGAAGAGAAAAGGAGGTCTGGTATTGTTGATGACGATGGTGATGGGGATTAGTATTATTAATTTTTTCTGTTTCGGTTCATGTCCAACTAGAAAGAGGGAAACTTTTGATCGATCACTGCAATGAACTACTACTTAGCCTTCGCCTTACTCTGGACCGGTACGCTCGATGAAGGAGGCACTAGGATGTGGGTATGGCCCGGGGCTTTGATGACGGTCCCCGACACTTCCTGCTCGCAAGCGTGGATGTTCTGGACCCACTCATCGGCCAAGACATCGTCGAGACTGGCACGGTCTTTGACCCGCACGGTCAGCATCCGGCCGACGATATAGCGACTTTCGCGAGGCAAGAGCCGGAGAAGACGCCAGGGTCCTTTGATGACCTCCTGGCGTTGGCCCGACTGCTGGGCCGACGGCGGCAGCGGGGGCGCCTCCTTGCTCGTCGTCCGCGTCGGCTTATTGTTGTTGCTCATCTTCTTCTGCGTTTGGTTATCCGCCGTCTCGTCCTGGGGGCTCTCTGGCGGGCGGTTCTCCTCGCTGGTGGCGGACTCTGGTTTCCGCTTGGGTGGCGCCTGGCGTCCATTCATTTGCCCAGGAGCCCAGTTGTCGTCAGGGATGCGGGAAGGCGCATTGGCTTCCCGCGCCACCGAGGGCAAGTCCGGAGCGGACTTGGGCTTGTGCCGCTTCGGGTCGATATCGGGGACCGGGGTCCCGGGGGTCGGGGTAGAGACGAAGAGGCGGTAGGAGTTGTCGCTGACCCGGGGTTGCTTCCACGGGAATCGACGCAGCGTCATACAGCAGAAGATGATGGCCAAAGACCAGACATCGGTCGGACGGGGGTCGTATTTCTTCTCATCGTACACCTCGGGAGCAAGGTACGGATCCGAGCCAACGATCCCTGCGATCAAACCTGTCAGTATGCGGCGCGATAATACAAAGAAAGGAGAGGAAAAAAAAAAAAAAAAAAAAAAAAAAAAAAAAAAAAAAAGGGCGGGAGGGGTGTACCAGAGGCGGGAACGATGTCGTTTTCGAACGGATATCGGAAGACCACGGCACTGCCAAAATCAATAAGCTTCATGATGCCATGCTCGTTGACGACCACGTTGTCGAGCTTCAAGTCGCGATGGGCGAGACCCATGCCGTGGAGGTAGGCCACGCCGCTGAGGATCTGCTTGAAGGAGCACGCCACTTCATCCTTGACCATCTTGCCTGTCATGACGATGGCGAACAGATCAAACGGCGCGTACTCCATGACCTCGTACCAGTGGCTTCCTTCCTGAATGATGTCCAAGGTCTCGATGATGTTGCCGTGATGGAGCGTCGACCCGATGCAAAATTCGGCCGTCACCTTCTTGGAGTATTCCTTCAGGGTCTCCCACGAATGGCGATCGCGGAACTGCTTCACCGCAAAGGTGACGCCGTCGCTGTTCCGCTTCAGCAGGCGGACGGACCCGCCGGCCCCGGACCCGAGCACCTTGCCGAGCTTCCCGTACTTGGAGTTGAGCCCGTGATCGTCGGCGAAGGGGACATTGTCGGGGGCCATCTGGTAGGGCGTGCTCTTCCCCGAACCGCGGCTCGATTTCTTGGGGAGCGAGGAGGGGGACTCGCCCCGCTTGTGCTTGTTGTGGCCCATCTTGAAGAAGCGCTTCAACTCCGACATGTGGCCGTGGTGCTTGCCGTCGACGTCCGGGTCCCGCTTGCTGCTGAAGAAGCCACTGCGCCGCTCTGACTTGAGATCGGTGGCACTAGACGAGCGCGGGGCGTGGGGCCGGACGAGGGAGGAGGCGTGCTGGGCGGCGCGGCGCTTGACGTCGCGGCCGTTGAAGATGAACCGCTGATCGAGCTGCGCGAGGTTCTTCGGCTGGGGGATGCGAAGGCGGCGCGCGTAGGGGTCGTTGGGCTCCCCGACGGGGGTGATGGTGCCGGGGGGCGTATATTCCGCGCGGGGCGTCTGCGGGGGGCTCTCCTCCTGAGAGCTCGCATCCGCGCCGGGCCCCAGGAAAAACTGCGCGCGGTGTTTGGCACCGTTTTGCGGGTGGGAGTTGGTCTGCGCGACGTCGTTCGGTTTGGTCAGCTGTTCGGTGGAAGAAGGTCGCGAGGTCGGGGCGCTTTGGGCCGCCGCCTTGCTCTTGGTGGACGACCCCGTGGGCGGGGAGGTTTCCGGAGTCATGACCGCGGTGTGATCGGTGGTCCCCTTGTCTGCCGTGGTAGAGGTAGACGATGTGTCGTTAGTTTTCGGTTCACGGGAATGGGTGGCCGCTGGCGTCAGAAGCGGCGAGTGCACCAGGGACGCCGCTGGGGAGGCACGGGGAGACGGCAAACCAGATCCATTCGTTTCTCGTCCCCCTCGGTCGCTAGATTCGCGGGATGCAACCTATCAGAAAAAAAAAGGGGGGAAAAGACTCGTCAGTTTTCCATTATCTCCGCCAAGCTCCGCGGGGGGAGTGTCAAGAGCTACATACTCTTGAGGAGGGGAGGGATAAGGGGTCATAAGAAAAGTTCCGCAGACGCGATTCCTGCAATTGGGTCCCCTGCAGGCTTGCGGCCAACGAACGGAGATCCTCATCCTGTTTCTGACCCATGGCAGAGGCGGTCTGCTGCTCCGAGGGCTCGATCTCCTCCGTGACGGAGGAAAAACGGACTTGACTTGGGTGCGACTTGGATTTGGTATCATCCTCGCTGGGATCGGACACCCGCGCCGGGGATATCCGAGGAGCATGTGAGCCTGTCCACCACAGAGTATCGGATTAGTCGAGCGGTTGGTTTTAAGGAATGGAGGGAGGGGTTCGATGATGCATACCAGAATCCATGCCGTCACCCTGCTTTCCAAAATCGGTCACCTCCGACATTGTACTCGGTCAAAGAACACAAGAGATGCAAGTGACGCTGAGGGACGCATGCGCGCCTCGAGGTATTTCGGCGAGAACCAGTGACGGCGAGCTCACTGGAGGAACGGAATGCGTAAGGAGTCAAATGATGTAGGCCGAATTCCGGGGAAGTGACGGAGACTGGAGACAACCAAGAACATTCGTAGGAGGCAGAGAGGGCGGATGGACGGTGGATGGTGGATCGATGACCAGATGACCTTGCACGAGGCGGGATTGCTGAGGGGCGGGAGGAAGTCGCCCCATCCAAGAACTGGATCTCTTTCTTTCTGTACCTTTCACTGTTCTGATTCTTTTTTTTTTTATAATATATTTTTTGTTCGTGTTTTCTTTTTCTTTTTGTTTTTTTTTCGGATCTCGGAATGAGGAGAGACCAAAGGAGGAGTATGGAGGAGAGGGGAAGAATGGTGGAGGTAGAAAGTCGACTGGAGGAGGAAAGAGGAGAGAACGGAGGAGGAGGGGAGGAAGAGAGAAAGTCAGAGAGAGAGAAAGCAAGTGCGGTTGGTTATCAATACGGTCCGTAAGGCTGGGCAGGCCGAAACAAGACGGCGGCAATAGCGGCCATGACCGTACTATACGATATACTGTATTATACTGATTATCCTTTATAATTATCATCGTCTAGGATATTAGGTTGATCATATTACTATCATGATAATACAAGTCTATCCTCGTTTTGAATGTCCGTTAAAACAGTCTTCATAGCTTCAATGTGGTCATCGGGTGGAATTTTAGGTCTGACGCCGGGACCAGCAAGGCCTCATGGACGAACCATTGGTTGAGAGATGCATCTGGTCATTCTTGATTATGACATTGTTCTTCGTTTCTTCTATCTGACTTGTTAAAGTTGATTCCTTACTGTACTTGGTACTTACTTGGTATGCTTCATTCTTGAAGGGAGATCAGAGGATCAACTGGGTATTCTAGTATCACAGACAGCTCTCTACAATCTTGTATAACAGACCTCTCTACCTACTCCGTATAGTCTACATCATATGAAAGACGTTGAAACTGTATTCGACTGAAAGAATCCGCCCGGAGTCCCGCGGAGATGGTAATGAACCGTATTGTTACATTCTTACGACTGCAGCGTCATCGCTGGACTTATCTCGGGGTTATCGTGCTGGGTTCTGACTCAATGCCTGGTTTGGGGGTTTTGGGTTTATTTTCGGAGATAGTTCTTGATCACTTCTGAATCACAGTTATCAGATAATATTCTTAATATCTGATCCAACTTGAGTTCATTCATAAGAATCATACGGAAGAAGGCTGTCCAGTAACCCCGCCGGGAACAGTCCAAGAACGCCTCCCGACAGCCCTCTAGATTCCTATTATGCATGCGGCTACTCAAGGGGTTTCTCTCCCTTCCATTCCTCTCCTTCTGGTATATTTCCTGATTGAGAGAATCCTCTATATAATCCATCCTCAAAGTTGACCTGTAAAAGTCCTGGTGACATCATGGATGTAGTCATTTGGTTACTGAACTTTGTTAGTCACATCTGTGCCCTATCAGTCTGATACCATCGTGATGGTCGGACTTCTTGGCAATTAGTGTTACTCTCTATAGTCTATCCCCCTCTCGTCCACTGCATCCATACCGTCCTTGGTCTTCTTGGCGTCTGGAAGAGCGGTGACACCGGGATACTCTTCCTTCCGGATTCTTTGTCTGTTCCTTTGATTTCCGTTTCTCCGGAACAGACGACCCGTTTTATCCGTGCTTACAATGCCTCGTGGTGGGTCGAGGTCCGAGCAAAGGAGACAATCCGACTGCCTGTCGCATATTCCACCGGCCATATAGGCTAGAACCCATTGGACTGAAACGGCGTTGAGTTTGCATCCTGGAGATTGGGTGACTCCCCACGGGGCAACCACATGCCGTCTGCTTATTATCCTGCCTGCTTACCATACGCGGACCATGCACCTCGCATAATTGGTCGGACCACTCATATTCCGTGCAAATGCTTTGGTATATCGCGACGCTCTCGGCTCGCATGCAATTCTAATGTACAGACATGAAAGGAAAAGAAGAGAAATGAAATGAAAAGGCCCAATCGCCAAAAACGCCAATCATCATGACCACTGCGTAGTGACCATCTACATCAGTAGCCCGGATCCCTCACGGAACAGATCCCTCACGGAGCCACCTGGATGCCCACGGACTTGGCCTGCGCGATCACACTCTTACACAATCCCTCCAGGTGCAACCCCGACAATCTGGTCTCGGACTGCTTGATCTTGGCGATCTCGTAGATATGCTTCAGGGACACCTTGCCGACGGTCTCATGGCCGGGGTTCATGGCGCCTCGGACGCGGTTCTTGCGCGGCTCGATGTTGGCGGCCTGGAAGAGGAGGTAGGCGGTGGTCGGGGTGCGCAGGTCAAAGGTAAACGAGCGATCGGGACGGACGGTGACACGGGCGGGGATGGGGACGCCGGTGTTGATGTGGGAGGTTCTGGCGTTGAATTCCTTCGTGGTATTAGCCTCCTCTTTCCTTCTCCCGTTCTTCCTTCGTTTCCTCCACACTTTAATCCCAATTGATTGCTTACCTTGCAAAAGTCCATACTCTTCACACCTTTGCTACCCAGGGCCGGACCAACCGGAGGACTGGGACTGGCCTGACCGGCTCCAACGATGAGCTTCACGATCTGATCCTTGGCCAAAGCTTTTTTCGCCATGATGAATTATAGTAAACAAGGAAGATATGAAGAAACAATATGTAATCAAGAGAAATGGTGGTTAGACGCGTGACGGATAGACGATTGACGGACGATTGATTGAAGAATTTCGAGATGACCCGATTGGGGATAGCGTAGTCCGGGCGGAGTTACTTTCCCTCCGAGGTCAGGCACTCAGGCCACCAGAAGTGCTGGACGTCATTTTGCACTGTTTGCTTCTGTCCCTGGTAACTGAACTCTTCTTCTACTTCTTCATCTTACTTCTGCTTCTATTTCTTCTTTACTTTACTTTACTTACTTAAGTTCTTGATAATAGATGGTTTTCGACTCCTCAGTCTCATCCCATTAATCCTCCATAGTCCTGTTCTGTGGATCGTGTTCACAACTCTATCCTGTCAGGCTCATCCTACTAATCATCCGATACGGTTAGCTGCGATCGGCCTAGCCAGACAGAGAACGTCGACCCCCCTCCGGTCCCCGCGGGCTATCGATTTCCCTCACCTACTTTTTTCTATCTCCCTTTCACCCTTCTGACCTCTCTCTTTCTTGACACTTCCCTCACCCTTTCCATCTCCATCTCCATATCCACCAACATGAACTGGCTGAAATCTACGTATGCTTGTCTCCTTGCCTTTGGACCCCTCTCCATAGCTGCTCCCGTCTGGAGGCATACGTGCTGATCCGCTATACCGCTTTAGTCTCGCCAGTGTCGCAGGCACTCAGGAACCCATCTATGGCCCCGACGCCATCCGATCCGTCGCCCAGCAGGCCCAATCCCAGGAGGTCCCCTACACGGAACTCTCCAAGGATGACCTCCGGTGGCGCGCCCACCAGTATACCAATGTGGAGACCAAGACCTTCTATGTCATGGCCGACAACGGCACCCTGGTCATGATCCAGATCATCTACAGCAACATTGTGTGAGTATTATTGCTCCCCCCCCACTCCGAAGTACGCACGCTGAACAGTGACTCGCAGAGGAATCCATACCACCGCCCATGTCAACGCCAAGATCTTCAACCTGGCCGGAGATGCCCCCCACAACTGGCACTCCGATCCCCTGTCCAACTTCATGTTCGACGAGAGCATGCTCTCGTTTGGCGCGGACAACCTGTCCCTGACCCTGAACGAGGAGGGAACGAAATACACCTTCAAGTCCGCCGTCAACGACGACAGCCTGATCAACCTCACCTTTACCCGCACCACCCCCGGTTTCGTCATCGGCAAGGACGGCACCTCCTACTTCGGTACCGACCCCGCGAACCCCTGGGGCTCCATGAGCCATGCCTTCTGGCCCCGTTGCGCCGTCGAAGGCACCATCTCCACCAAGGAGAAGACCTACGACCTCACCGGCAAGGGCATGTTCATCCACGCTCTCCAGGGCATGAAGCCCCACCACGCCGGTAAGTCTTCGCACTAGATATTCGAGTCACAAACAGCAAACAAGCTAATGACAATAGCCGCCCGGTGGAACTTTGTCAACTTCCAGGGCCCCACGCACACGGCCGTCATGATGGAATACACCACCCCTCCCTCGTACGGATCCACCGTGGTGAACGTCGGCGGCATCGTCAAAGACGGCGAGATCGTCTACGCCGGCACGACGAACCTGGCCAGCCACACCGCATCCGAGAAGGACCAGGAGAGCGAGTGGCCGGCGCCGACCTCGGCCAAGTGGTCGTGGGAAGGGCGATCCAAGGAGCCCAAGGACGTCAGCGCCGAGATTCAAGGTCCTCTCGGCAACCGCCTGGACCGCGTAGACGTCATGGCCGAAGTGCCCGGATTTATCAAGAGCATCGCCGGCAGCGTTGCCGGCACGCGACCTTATATCTTCCAGGTATGCCAACACTGGTACCCCACATAGCGGAACCACGCTAATCAACAACGCAGTACTCCCCGCAAGACAAACTCAGCCTCAAGCTGAAGATCGGTGATGAAGAAATCACCGAAGAGGGCACCGTCTTCACCGAAGCGACCTTCATCTCGTGAAATCCTGAATTTCCCCTCGTACATAGACCCTGTCCCGACCCTATTGGAAGAGTGATGTCTCCGGCGTTTTTGAGTGTTTGATATGATATAATTCACCGGCTTGCAAATTTGAACCTGAAACCATAATCAATCACTGGCTTTATATGCACTATTAAATAATATGAATGACTTGCTTTCAACCACCTTTTCAATTTGAGTTACTGTTTTGGGTAGGGGGTGCCTGGTGACAGGCTGATACACTTGTTGTTTCTGCTTCTCCTTTACCACTGTTATTTGGATTGTTCATAATTCACTGGGATTGATTCTCACTTGTTACAAATGAAGACAGACAGAATTGTCTTCCATTCCCTACCTCCCTGTCTCCAAATCAAACATCCCCATCTTCCTTTCTTATTGCATTAAGCACCATCAACCATTCCAAAATCATCATACCTATCTACACCAAAACATCCCACGCAACCAATCCCCCCCAAACCCCATCCCAACAATGGATCCCCGTCTCATCAAAAAGGGCCAGGCGAAGTTCGTCCCCCGCCGCTCTCAACGGTAAGTTCCCCCCAAGATACGCAGGACAATCCAAGTCTGAACCAAACCACCTACCTACCTACCTACCTACCTACCTACCTATCACCTCCACAAAACTACACAACAAGATCTAACATGATATGATATGACATCCATAGCCCCGGCTTCCGCAAACGCTTCCGCGACAACATCCAGGGAATCAGTGAGTACCTACTTCCTTTACCATCTGCTAACGACACCCATCATCTAAACAAGACCATGTAATCAACCCACTGACTCGTTCTTCTAGCCAAGCCTGCTATCCGGTACCCTTTCCGCCAATACCAGTGCTTGCCAACCAGCACTCTCAAAACTGACATAACTAATCATAACACTATAGTCGTCTCGCCCGCCGAGGTGGTGTCGTCCGCATTAAGGCAGATGTGTATAATGAGATCCGCGTGGCCGTCAAGATCCGGTTGACAGAGGTGATTAACCCGGATTTTATATTCTATTCTGTCCTATTCTATTATACATCTTTCCCATCTATCTATTATACTATCCTATCACAGCACAGTGTCAATGGATCATGTATTCAATGAATTGAAATGATACTAATAACTACCCACAGATCATGCGCCACATCGTGCTCCTCCTCGAGTCGGTGCAGACGGAGAGGTATGAGCGCAAGGTTGGTAGCCCAAACGAGAACCTAATTCTTCCAGCTGGAATGAATAGAAGGAACATGTTTGTGCTAACTGGCTATCTCTCATGGAATGAACTATAGGTCATCACGACCCGTGACGTAAGTCTGTCCTCTGTCCTATGTCAATCGGATGCAGTGCGTTTAGAGGGAGAGGGAGAGAGAATATAAAGCTGATAATATCTCGATTACTAGGTTGTATTTGCGCTCAGCAGGGTGAGATTATATCTTTCCTTACTGAGGTGGGGGAGAGGGAATTGCTTTGTAGTGCTAACGTCTGGTCTGTTTAGATGGGGAGTACGTTGTATGGTTTTTGAGGTCGGGGGATGGATGGATGGATGGATGGATGGATGGGTTGGTGGTTTCGTTCTGCCGGTTGTGTTCTTTGTTTCTTTTCTTTTATTGTTTTGTGTTTGTTTTTCAGTTCTGGTTGAAGGGCGGCCATACCATGTGCCGCATAGTTGAAGATACTTCGTTGATACCCACTCTTTTCCCCCTTCTGATTGAGCAGAGATTGTTGCTAGATTGATATTCACGAGTTTGAGAAGGGTTGTTTCAATCGTACAGCATCAAAGACAGGATAAAGAAATACTTGCTAGTAAGCTAGTCAAATACATAGAAAAATCTTATGAAACAGGTATGTAGGTAGGTGGGTAGACAAATACAAGAACAAAAGGGCTCGCCCGCGGGCTTCACATATATGCAGTAGCACAATCATATGCAGACAAGAACAAACAAAAAGAAAGAATGATAAAGCTTAAGATATACACAATAAAATCAACCATCAACCATCAACTGCTCCCCCTCATCCAACAACGTCGTAAGCTTCGCCAAATCCTCAATCATCTTCTTCGCATGTCCCACCAGCAACATCTTCTCCGCATTGGCCGGCAACCCAAGATAAGTAGGCGGTTCTCTCTCTGGCAGACGATTCACCCACTCCCCGAAAGCCTGGATGCTCGTTTCGCTCGGCAGAACCAGACACTCGTCTTTCTCGACGCCCGACACAAGCTTGTACTCGTCTTCGAAGGCCGCCGGGGTAAGGAAGCTGTTGACGAGGTCCTCGAGCTGCTGGAAGTCGCCCGCGTCGTCGACCTTGCCGCCGTACATTTCGCGCACCAGCGTGCGGATCATGTCCCAGGGGAGCTTTTGAGGGGCGACGTTCGAGCGGCCTTGCGCTACGGTGTTGACCCAGTAGTCGATTATGTTGGCGGAGCATTCGTACTGTTTTGTTTTGTTAGTTTGGGTTCACTCAATGAGTGGGTAGAGGGGGTTTGGTGGGACTTACGTCGCTGTCGTTGAACTCCCAGAAACCCTTCCAGCCAAGGGTGGGCGCGTAACGGAGTCGTTCTTGCACCACGGCGTGCAGGAAGCAGAGCAGCAAGTAGACGCGCGCTTTTTCAACCGGGGTCTTGCTCGCGCGGGTTGTCAGTGAAGACAGCGAGTCCTTCATGTTGGCGCGCACACCGGCAGGCTGCTCGTACATGAGTACGCGCGAAGCGCGCAGGAAGTTGACGGGAATCTTAGGGCTGGACTCCATGGAGAGGAACAGTCTGAAGGCCTTGTGGGGCTTGATCGACTCGAGGCGTTTCTCGAGACTCTGCACCCAGGAGGGCGCCAGATGCACGTTCTTGACAAGCACCCAGTTTCCTGCCGCCGCGGCGTTGCTGATCGCTTTGTCGGCACTCTCGAGTCCTTCGCTGGAACCCATGGCGATGTTGGCGCACGTGGCTTCCTCGCGCTCCACCAGGGCGTCGACCTTGTAACTGGCGTCGAAGCCGGGGCTGGAGCTGAGAGAGATCGGCGTGGTCGAGGTGACTTGCTTGACGATGTCCTTGAGGTCCGTACTGCCTTCGAACAGCTCGCGGCCGAACACGGCTTCGATGAAGCGCTCAGCAGTTGGCACGAACCTGTCCATTCTGCATAGCTTGATAAGCAACAACGACCGGAGGAGCTGGTTGACGCGGTCGGTGCTCTCAGGCCAGACAACAGGGACCAAGTTCTCGGCGAGTTCTTCGCCCAGGAATTGATCCCACTGATCTGAAGACACCTCCTGGAAGTGCGACTTGAAGAGCGACATGTTCGATACCATGTTCATGACTTGGTCCCGCTGTTCGGGGGTGCTCGATAGATCCGACCCCTCAACCGACCCATCTAGAATGGTATCGATGATAGTCTTGTCAATGCTGTACGGAGTGGCTTGGGCGAGCAGCATGGCCAAGGTAATCCGGTCCTTCTGCACCAAGCTTAGGGAGGTGCGGTGATACGTGGTGACAAACAGATCCTTGAGAATGACATCCACTCGTTCAGCATGGTGCATATCGGGGCGAAGACGCGGGTTGCCGTGGAGAACGGAGTGGAAAATGTCGACAAAGTATTGCAGTGAGAATTGGTAGAAGTGGTTGACATGGTGGAGTTGCTCCAACACTGCAAACACAGCACTGCAAGACTTGGCGATGACATTGTAGGTGAGCATGACATTTTCGACCTCCGTCATGACACCTTCGGTTTCCACCATCTTCCGCGAGATTTCGGCAGCTTCCTTCTTGAGGGTTTCGAGAGTCTCGATAACGTTGTCGTCGTCGAGGATGTTACCCCGGGACTCGTTGAGCGCCTGCAACAGTCGCTTCTCAAGCTGGCGCAGATGGACCTTGAATTCTCCCTGGATCTTGACAAGGTCGGTGCGACGCCTGTCGACATCAGGTCGCTCGAATTTGAGGACTTCATTGAGCGATTGAGTCTGCAAGCTGCTTTGCGTGACAGTAAAGTTGACGAACGTGGTTCGACTGCACACGTCTGGTGCGAAGGTTGCAGACGGATCCCTAGTCGACAGGAACAACTTGAACGAGGGAGAAAAGTCGATCTCCTGCTTTCCAAGCTGAATGAGAACACGTCCTCCCGTCTTCTGGTACTCTTTGTTGAGAACATGGTTGAGGATGGGATCCAAATGTTCGGCGTCCTGGATGAGAATGGGGTTTCCGAAACGAAGAGCGCTTTCCAACTGCTTAACAAAGGAGTCGTCCAGGAAGCTGGTGACGGTGAGCTTTCTTTCCGTGCTCTCCTTCTGCAAGAACTCGGTTACACGACCAGAGGGATCGATGATCAAAGGGTACCTGTTGTACCGCTTGAGAACAATGGCGTTTTCCGTGCAGAGGTCGTCCACGGGCAGTGAGTGGCTCTGCCATGTCAGACGCTCGTCGGCGTTGGACAAATACTCCGTGATAGGATTGTGTGGCTTGAAGCTAATACCGGATTGCATAAGTTGATGGGCCCAGTCGTCAATCATGGACTTTCGGAACTGCTGGTCATAATAACCGGCATAGGCGAGGAATGCAGCCGCGATAATCACATCGCCGACAAGCGTGCCAATCTGCGTCTCAAACGACCTGCTCCCCTCCTCCCATCGCGTACGTTCGGAAGCCAAGCTGTCAAGCAGTCGTACACTTCGGTTGACCTTGAACTCCACATTCTCCATCTCGTTCTTGATGGCCTGGGTTTCGCTGATGAGTGCTGCATATTCGCCCTTGTACGTGGCGATACTGGCCTCGAGATCTTGGATAGTATTCTCGATTGCTTGAGCCTCGGCCTTTGTCTGCAAAGCCCGCTCTTCGAGTTGACCAACCTCCTCACGCAAAGGTCCAACACGGTCCAGGATCTCTGAGTAATTGACCTGGGCTTCCACCCACTGAACCAGGGGACCGCAGGCCTTACTAGCTCGGTGGACTCTCTCATAGGTGAAGTCCTCCTTGGAGAGGAACTCCCTCTGCATTTTGACTCGGTGACTGCTCGTCATTTGTCTCTCGTTGTCATAATTGACAATGCTGGCGATGAAATCATCCCTTCGAATCAAGCCTTGGATCGTCTTCCAGCTGTCCACCTTATGTCCAAGCAAAGTGCAGACGGCTTCGAGGGCAAGTCGAACGCTGGCGGGGGGATTACCCATGGAACGAACTTCAGTAAGGTGCTGACGCTTGATGTTGCTCACGCTCTTCTGGGCTTCCAAGACAGCTGGCTCGGCCCTGGCCAGGTCGTGAAGGACAACCTCCTTTCGGCTAGCGACCTCTTTCTCTTGCCTCTCCAAGGCCACTTGTACCTCAAGAGAGACCGCCTTGCGCTGTTCGGCCTCTTGCTGGTCAGCGACCATGCGCTGCAGCTTTTCGTTTGCTTCGGTGTCCTTCTTCTCCAGCTGCGTCTTCTTCTGGGCAAGACTAGCGCGCAAGTCACTGACTTTGTCGACCGTGTCGTGAAGCTTCTCTAGACCGACGTTCAAATGTCTCTGCTGCTCCTCAAGGTCTTCTCGCTTTTCGTTGAAAAGCCTGACATATTGAGCAACGAAGTCCAAGTAGTGGCGAGGTGTGAGGTAAGTCGTTCGGCCTTGTTGCTTTTGCAAACGCTGGTTGAACCTTTGCAGCGAGTAATGTATGTACACCATAGAGTTCACAACCGTGTCGCGGTGAGATGCAGGGAGGCTCAGCTCACGGTACGCAACGGGAATACTGTCGGGAGCAATAAAGTTCGCCTTGTCCAGGTCAACGGACTGCGTAAGCTCGGAGCCAACCTGGAAAAGTGCCTGGTCTGACCAATCGCCCATCCAGTTGAGAACGCATCTGTTGAACAACGCAGGACTGGTGGCGGCCTTCGAGGACAGCCCTTCCTCAGGAGGGTTCATGGTGAAGACAACGTGAAGATTCTTGACAATTTGCTGCGTGAACCATTTGTAAAGCTCCTCCTGGGTATCGAGAAGAAGGTTTTGCCGCGACGCCCCCTCCTTGCAGGCGGTCATCAGCGAAGCGAATTCATCCCCTTCGAAAAGACCGGGAACTTCGGCGTTCGCCAGCAAAGTATTCATTCGCTCCAGGAAACCCGAGTCAAGGACGTTCGATTCGTCCATGATAAAGCAAATCTTTTCACCCTTGCAGCCTGCTCGGCGCAGAACGGTTCTCAGGTCATCGTCAAAGTCTTCCGAAGAGTAGTTTCCATGAACCTTGATCTGGAAAACCTGCAAACCGTTCATCCAAGCCACGAAACGAGACAGCGTCGTCTTGCCACTTCCGCTGACTCCGATGAGAATAAGATGACCCTGAGGTTGACGGAAGACTCGATCAATGCGCAGAGCATGCTCCAAGACGTCATTGAACAGGACGAGAGGCACATCAACCTCTTCTTCGCAGAAAGTCCGAAGACGCGCCTTGACATACTCCCGTAGCTCCTCTTGTTCAACTGGAACGTAGTTCTTATGCAGCCAGTTCGAGAACAGGATCGGGCCCTTCAGGGCTTGTTCTTCATCAATGCTGGGGAAGTTATCAAGTGCGATGCG